GACTACAGACACATCACACTATGTTGCAAGGGTTTTTACACACCTTCTCAGTTATGGTCTAATAAGCAGAATTTGTATACAATCAAGTGTTTTTCTTGGTGTTTTTTTGGGTACAGAAATGGTCAGGCAGCCCACGTGCTCTCAACTGTACCAAACCTGGCACCCTATTTTAGATCTGTGTGCACTTTCTTAGACCATACCACTCCTAGCAGGATGCTAGAGGGGAAAGGCTGTTAGAAAATGGCACTCAAATTTTTAATTGGGAAGATTCCTTTCTGTCAAAAGCATTCTTTTAATTAGCCAAGTACCACATGGTTTTGATAAAGAAACCCAGCATCACAAGCAGAAAGATAGCTCTGAATTTAAATCCTTGAAAATTAACACGGAGAAAAAAGAATGACAAGGATATCTACTTGATCTCTCTGAAAATGTTTCTGATTAAGCCTTTTCACAAGTACCTCCTGAGCAATGAATAAGCATCCCCTCTATGATTTTAAATTCCTCAGGAGTCCTGAGAGCAATACCAAACATTGTTGGGCTTTGACCTTTTCTCTTGTGCCCCCTTGCCCATCCTCCCCACACACCAAAGTGCCCGCTTCCGGAGGCAAGGGAGAGCATACACAGGAGATCCCTTCAGACAAGATGTGGCTGTATTCTCCTTTCCACTCTCCCTTGACTGCGACATGGACAAATTCCTGGTGTCTGTGCTTCAGAGACTTTCAAGTAAGTTACTGAAGGCACTGCAATAGTCAGAAATGGATTTTAAGCTGAGGTCACACCACAGGCTCTGGCTGGCCAGCGGTGCATATGGGGATTTTCACTTGGCTTTAAGCTAGAGAGCGTGTGGCTGGCCAGCACAGGAGACAGGGCTCAGCATGGGCTGGCCAGAGGATCAGCTCTGCCTGCACCACACACAGCTCTGCAACAGTGTTCCTAGGAATGAGCCGTACCCCAGTTCAGTAATTTAGTCATAGCAGCAATGGTGACAGAAACTAATTAAGAACCTCTCATACACCTTGGAAGAGTGGGTTTATGGAAAATAAGCATATCAGACCACCACAAACAGAGCTCCCACCTGGCTGCTGAAAGATGCTGCTCCTGTGCCGAGATGCAGTAACTGACAGCCCACCTGTTCTCTGTTTCTCACAAACACACAAAACAGGTGACCTCCATGAAGGGTCCAGGCAAGCCTGCTTTATTTCACATCTGCACCAGGTGAGGGACATTAGTTCACAAGGTCAGCAAGTGCCTCTCAGCTGAGGGGCAGAAATTAAGACACTAAACCACCACTTGACATAGCTGGGTCATAACTTTAATCTGTTAACTCTGCAGCTGCAAGCTATATACAAAGCAAGTGCTCAGGTGAAGAAAGAAATGCTGGAGAAGAATAACTGATACTTAAGTATCTTAATCCCTAAGATACAAAAAGCTGCCAGAGACTTGAAATGGAGGCAGCAAATATATCCCCATAATGAAGTTCAGGAGTCCCCCTCATTAAGGGAGTCACAAGAGTCACCCACAATGTGAATGCAACCTTGGTAGACAGACTTAGTCCAGTAAAATCACTGGGTACTCTTGCAATGAATCTTAAAAATCGATCTATGTGGAAAATGAAGAACTGAGACTAGGAACAAACACCTATAACTATTCTTTGGTAATTTACTCACCTTGGACTAATGCCAGCAGCACTGATGAGGGACCCAAACAAATGGACTCAGTTCTTTACCACAATCCCAAAAAGTACCCAAGGAGAGCACTAGCAATTCTCCCTGACTGACTTGACTGTACAAGGGAGAAAACTGGAGGAATTACCAGGAGTAAGGTGTTTGGTGATGAGGGTAAGCACCACCCCCATTACTATGCTCAAGCCAACACAGCAAAGTAGCTTCTGCTTCCTTAGGAATGTCCATCACGTAACACCCAATTGTTACTGAGGGGTTGCTACCCAGTACTTAGCAGCTGGGTATTACCAAACCCACAATTAAGTCACTAGTTTGATTATATATGATTATGAATACTGAAAATGTAATACCCAAAGATACGCAAATTAACATGGTAGTCTACTGAAAAAGAGCTGAGCGGTAAAATTAACTGCTTCCTACACTCACCAGCAGCATGAAAGATCCTGCATGACTGAAAAGTCAGTAGCAGGAAGAAAAGTCTGAAGGTCTGTTACGATTAAAGTTCTTTTCTCTCCTTTGCCTAATGCAAGAGAAACCAGAGTCTGGCTTCTATTCCCCCCGCAGGAATAGACTGTCACTGTGTAATCCCATCAGTGAAACATGTACAAGGCAACTGCCCAGTTCGACAGTGAGCCAGCTTCAAAGGTCTACCCAGTTTAAAATAAAGCAAATTGAAGGTCTCAAGCATGGCTTGACAAAATGCCATCAAGCCCTTTTCTGCTGGACAGAGGTCACCTCTGCAAGTACAATATTGCTACAGTAAAGACTGGGATGATTTGGGGTGGAAGAGGCAACCCCAAACAGACCATTCAGCAGGGCAGGAGAGAGCAAGGGAGCAAAACCATTAAGAAACACTGGAAAAGATAAGACTGTCTGAAAACATGCATACCACTGGGTCTCAGCAGAGCAGTGAGCCGTTCAAGAAGCTACTGAAGCACAGTCACCAGACTGAACTCCACCCATCACAGGGGTGTATCTGCCATTTGAACAACAGGGTGCACCCAACTCAACTCCATGCAGAGCCTGGAGATTCCCTGCAGTAGCTGCACAGCCATTCCTGCACCTTGATGGGAAGCCCCTGCACTTCTCACCATGATCCTGGATTTCAGTTCTGATATCTAACCCAACAGGGCAACAAAATCAAATCAAGGAAGAAAACCTGGCTGCTTCTCCTGTTTCTCCTATCAGTTGTCTTTGGACAGTTGGCGTATCATCACCTTTCTCTGCCTCAACTTCTAACACTGACTGGACCAAAAGTGACATATGACCAACCACAAAATATTCTGAAACTTAACATCTGTATCACTACAAGCATTTAAAACCACTGAAACAGGCTAGAAATTAAGTTCCCTCTGGCCCAATTTGTTTGTGTGCTTGCAGCACTATCTAGTATGTTTCCAGTTTTTTGGGGTGATTTCCATACAGCAACAAAGATGGCTCCCTCCCCATGAGAAGTTATCTTTGCAAGAAAGCACCCTATAAGCAGAATACACAGAAGCACATGAGACTGGAGGAATTTTACATCACTGTCCAGATTCTTCTGAGAATTGTCCAAAAAAAAAAAAAAAAAAAAAAGGAAAGGGCAGTCACACTACCAGGCTTAAGGACCACACACTGAGGTACTCGGGGAGATCAGAGTCGGCAGAGAGGGATGCTTTCCAGGGGCGCCTCTTCAGTAACCTAGAGACTCCGCTGACTGCAGAAAGATCAGCCTCTGTGTCTGGAGGCTGAAGCTCAGTCCATACAAATACCCTTTTTGCCCCCTCACCCAGGGTGGCTTCAATTAATAGATCAACATCAGGGCTAGGATTTCCAGACCAGGAGTTTTCCTTTGACACCAGTGACACCAAGTGCCTAACTTGTAACTGTTTTTTCAGCAGAACTGGAGGGCACTCAAGTAGACTCAAGTGTATACTTTCTTTAAACAAACAAACAAAAAAAGGGCAGCACCTCAAACCAAGCCCAAATAAAAAAAAAAACCCCAGAACACATTCCCTGTGACAGAGTGAATTCACACAGCAGCCGGAGGAGTAATCCTAGAAATACACATCCCGCCATACTTCACCAAGACTTGTTTTTCCCTGTATACAGCACCATTATGACATCTTTAAAAAACAATGAACAACTGTAAATAAAATTTAAGAGCTCCTTTGCTATCCCATGGTATATAATTTGCCCCTTTTCAGAGAAAAGCCTGAACAGCCACATATGCAGTGCCATGAACTGATTCAGTTTAAGCAAGCAATCCACAAGGGAAGTAGAATTATGAAACACCACAAGAAGATCTGTTTGTGAAGCACCCATGTCAGTGCTCACTGTCAGTAAATTATATTTTTGTGTAATTTACTGGTGCACATCTGGGAGAGCTCTCCTTTTACCAGAATTTCCACCCGGATGGCAGGGAACTGCATTCCTTGCAGGGCTTCCATCTAAGTCTCTGCTAGCAACTGGAAATTAAGCCTGAGGCTCACTGCTTGGTGTTACTGATGAAGATACTGAGCACAAACACGAGAGGGACCACAAGGACACATGCAGACTAGCTTTAGGCAGCCTGGCAGGAGCTCTGTAAGGGACTAGAGCTACTCTGCAGTGGTGGCTGTCATCTCCAGCAGAGACAGGAGAACAGAGCAGGTCCCAGCCTCGTGTTTCTTCTCGGCTTCAACCAAGTGCCCATCTGGCACCAAAGCAGCAAGGTACAGGGACACTCTGCTCCACTGGTGAGAGGGGCAGGGGAAAAGGCATTCATCCCAGCAGAGGACAGAGGCATCAGTAACAAGCTTAAGTTTGGTGGCTGCCAAAAGGCTAGGAGGAGCACCCTGGAGTCCTGCATTTTAGCTGAGTATTAGGTAAGACCATCACCCTGGAATGCATATGCTTCACAGCTGGACCCGAAGGGCACTGGACCTGTTCTCCCCACCCAGTCCCACATTAAGTTCGAGGGAGTTCAAGGGCAGAAGGCAGCAGAGGATTTGGGGAAAGACCAAGCCTCTCCTATAGCAAGCAGGATGACAGCAGATGCTAGTGCAGTGTAAGCTAACAGCAAGTTATGTTGCTACATGGAAAGCTTCTAGCTTGCGTTAGTGAAGTCCGAGATGCACTCTTCAACCTTGGAGAAAAAAAGTTTATTTATTCCACTGTTTATTAAAAGGAGATGTCCAACCAGAACAGCTAAAATGCAAGAAGTTTCCACAACCTGGGATAAAAAAGGTCCTCGGTTTCAGGCAGTTAATGAAGAACCCATAAGCTACGGCAGCAGCATACTCAAGAACCTGGGCTCATCTAGCAAATGGATAGATTTAGTTAATTTTGAATGACAAGAACACTCATGTCCCTAGCCCCCATTTCCTCTCAGCACCTCTGCAAGCCCCCAATGTAATGTCACCTGTAATAGCTACACTGCAGAACAGCCTATGCAAGCTCATACCTGGGACCGGCAGAGAAGGAACAATTTTTGCTCCTGGCACTGCTGAAAACTACAATTCAAATACAAATGCACTTTTGAGAAGTCCTGCACTTCTGCAGTTTGGGCTTGATGGGCAATACCCCTGGGGAATCCATCCCTGGCTCCAGCAAGTGCAGCTTAAAATTACCATATTCTTCTACGTATAAACAGTGTCATTAGACTTGTACTTTTAAAAAATAAGATCAGCCCAGGCCAGGCCCAGGCTCTGCAGATAAAGTAGTAGCTTATCTCTTATAAATATTTTTAATATTTTTTAATTAAAGTAGTCCTCACTCCAGGTAACGTAACTGACACAAAGTACCTGCACACACGCAGCCCCTAGACTTTCACAGAAAGCCCAGGAGCAACCACTCTATAAGAAAGGAATCCTACCTCACAGCAAAGTAGGGGAGGGGGCACGTGGCCAAGAGAGCCTAAATGCAGGGGAAAAGTCATTTGGAGTAAATACAATAAAAAGGGATTTCAAAAACCCTTCATATAAAGGATCAAGGAGGTTAAAGCAAAAACTGGTTCAAAAAGATGTATAAAACTGTTGGAGACCAACAGAAAACTCTGCCAAAAAATAACTTGCATTTAAATCAGAAATCAATGGCATCACACAATTCTGTTGTTAAAAAAAGGAAAAGAAAAGTGGAAATCTGTGTAAAGATCAGCATTTATAAAGAGTTATCATTAGCTCCAGAGACCAGCGTAATTCCCATGAAGTCCTGATGGAAGGGGGCCTCCTGCCACAAAGAGTTTCGTTCCAGACGAGTCGTAGCAGTGGGTGTAAACAGCATTTGGGAAGAAATTTATGTCTGAAAAATAATTCCTCCAGGTTTCATCATGATTCTGTTAAAGGAAAGTTTAGATTGTTATTGTTGCCAAACAAACCCAAAACCTTGTTTCACAAAAGCAGAAGGTAGCTTCCAGAGCCTAAAAAGGGATCTTTTTTATTAATACTCTCTGAAGCTTCAGATAGATCAATTTGAAGATAGCAGAGCTGTCCTGAAGCTTTTTCTGAGGACATTTGGGCCAAACATTGGAGGGGAGAAGGTGAAGGGTAGGGAAGATATCAAGTTCCATTAGTTTTTAAAGTTACATCACAATGATACAAAAGATAATGGAAGTTAGACAAAGCCATTAACTGCTTTATGATAACATACAGGAAATTGAACTCAGGTGCCTGCCATAGCATTACCTCAGGAAGCCACAGTTTCTAAAATTGCACACAATTAAATTAAATCTCTCTTACTTTGAGTACCATGTTAGAGTAGCACATTTTTGAAGGAAGACAATGTATTTTGTGTTTGAGGTTCCAAAAACTGGAAGTTAGATTGTATTGTTATATTTTCAAATGTAAAATCTAGTTCATTTATGAATGAGTGCATAAGAAAAGTAGTCAGTATGCCTTACTCCCAAGCAACCAACCATTCAGTACTCTTTCATAAAGCTTTTGTAGAAAGCAATTCCACAGCACTTTTTGGTTTTCGTGATTACAGTTATCGGTTACATGATCACTGTTTTGCTGGGATGCATTTCATACAATAGCTCCCATTACTACAAAAAGAACCAGTTCTCGAGGCCTATGGCACTCCTGTGTAAACAGCTGCCTACAGCTACAAGCTACTCACCAGCCAGCCTTTCCCAGTCGTCAATTTCAAAATTTCACCTCCTCCTAATTTCTGCTTCTGTCCATAGCAGGCACGTGGGGGCTTTTCATCCAGGAACCTCTGGGCTCTGATATCATAAAACAATAAGGAACCTTGCCCTGTCCCCACTGTGATGATGTGCTCGTAGAAGCTCACCGATCGAATACCTGTCAAACACAGAAGGGACAGAACAGCGCAGTAAGGAAGATGGATGCTTTGGCTCTGCAGTGCTGCTGCTTGATGTCTAGTATTTTCTTTAAGAACCACCACCTACTGGTATTCTCCACAACACATAAGTTTCCCCACTGCTATGGAGCAGTGCAGATAAATACCATTGATGCTATTGAAACAGCAGCTTCAATTACACGTACTACTTCCCTTCTCCTCCGAGGCCATCAGCTACACTGAGGGTGCATAGTAAGAAGCTTCATTCTCAGCAAGCCCCAGCTCTGCCAGATAAGCAAAGATCATAAGCCATTTAGGATCAAGAGCAGCTTTATTCTATCTGCCATGAGCCTCTAAGTGAACACACCATGAGCGAGTACATGGCAGCAGACAGAGGAAAGAATGTCACATTGGCTTCCTCCATGAGCTCGCACCCTACCTAGCTACCTGCCAAGCTACGGTAAGCGACCGTGTGAGAAAAACTACTGTCCCAGCTGCCACCAAGTGCATTTTGCTGATCAAGAGGCTAGCTGGAAGCAAGTATAACCATAATGATCACTAGTCACTTTGCTGCTAGGATAGATCAGGCTCTTAAAGAAGCTATCTCCACTCAAATATCCTCAACACAAGCACACCTTACTCTTTGTAGCTGGCTCTTTTAGCACTTCACTCAGGAATGAAAACAGACTAGGAATCCTACAACCTAAGCAACACTATGTTACGCCAGCACATGGGAAGCTAGAGCAAGTATCCAGTCCAAACAAAACATTCTAGCACAATGCAGTTATGCCATTAGGTAAAAGAAGTACATTTTGTTTTCACAAAAATCTAAATCGGAAGCCTCAGCTAAACAAGGATCCCCTGGAAACAGTCTTGGGGAGATTCTGTATGTTGGAATTCGCAATCTGCAAAATGTCCTGTCATCTCATCTCTATTTATTGTGCAAAAGGTTTGTTCTGTGTAAGCACTGTACCCCAAACAACTCTTCTATGCAGATTAAGCCCTGCCACATCTGTGCTTTTCCTTCCTGCACAATATGATGCAAGATTATAAACTCTAGGGCTTTTTAAACCCTCTTTAAACTACCGCTGAATTACAGCCTAAACAAGCATTCAAACAAGAGGGAAAAAAAGTGAGTTATGCCAGCTACATCCATGTGCCAACTGCTGTCACCATACCAAGTGAGACTGAACATCACAAAACTTGTAACATACTGGAATACACCCAGCAGGACACGTGACAGCAGACATCCCAGAGGTGTGGATGCAGCCAGGGAGTTTCCCCCTGCTCTCTGTACAGAGTCCTAACTAGAAACACATCCTCGTCCTTCCGCCTCCGCAAACTGCTATTACATCCACCGCCACCAGCGTCTGTGACACACACTTAGAACAGGCAAGGCCACACTGCCATGCTCCAGGTGCGAGGTGAAGTCTTGGCTGCAGGCTTAATACGTGGGAAACCACTGCAAATCTCACACCTGCTGAAAAAAATAAGAATCTCCACTTTAATTCAGAGAACTGCAAATGCATCTGAACAAGTTGGAGACATCTCCCCCCCTGCCATTACAAGGGCCTGACTCTGGCAAATACACACAGAAAGCTTTAAGCCCTCTGCAATCAGCAAGAGTAATCACTTGGATAAGAGGAGAAAGGCACGAAGGGGGACCTCCTCTTATTTTTGCTCCAAAAGCGCTCTTGACAAGCAACGCAGCAGAACACTTACTTAACAGAAACAGGTGATGGAGTATGAAAGCAAATGGCATATACTTTTCAATGCAATTTATTAATAAAAGTCATAAAATGCAGAATGACTGTGGATCTTTCTCTAATAAAAAAAAAAATTAACTGAAGGAATCCGTGACGTACCCACTACTACGAGGACATTTAGAACAGGCTTTCAAGAACAACACTTCAAATTGGCTCCTAAGGGGCTAAGTACCTCAGATTAATCATTACCATCAAACTAAAAGCACAACCTGTGCCTAGAACTGATCACAGTAAGCTCTCCAACATACCCAGCACTCTGCCACCTGTGGACCTGGACCATTTGGGTCAGCAAATTGAGTTTCACTCCTGAGAGGCCAGGAGGCTCTACAAATCCCAGAAGGAAATGAAAATGCAGTAGCACATCCTATGCCAGGAGCAGAGTCCATGCTGTGCAAGCTCTGTCTACTACATTAATGGTGCTCCCTTCAAGATATAAAGTCAAGGGCCCACGACATAGCACTGCATGCCAGCTGAGCAGAAAGCAGTTGCTCTTGCAGATCAGGAAGTAGAGTCCAGGGCCTGCACTTCCCCGTAGAGCTGCTAAGAAAAGCAACACTTACAAGATGCACTAAAAAGCATTAACTACATTCTCATGTAGAGCAGACAGGGTTACACTGGGTAAAAACCAGCCCCAGTTCCTGTCTTACTAAGCGACCACCTTTCTCTGACCTGCTTTATTATGCAAGACTAATGATGTGAAGTTAATGTGGACTTACCACGATCAGCAGGTACAATCAGAAGCTTAAAGCACATTCAGGTAATACTTCAAAGCACTTAAAAGTCAACCCAGATTTTAATGCACTAATCAATAAACAGCCTACTTTCTAGAGGTGCTGCACCACTCCAAGTCCCAGTGAGATCAACAGAAGTTGAAACACTCAGTATCTTGGGAATTAATATTACTTAAGTGCTTCCACCATGATGCCAAAAAAAAAAAAAAAAAAAATTCCACCTACTATGCAGAACAGAAGACAGCACTGAACAAAGGCTTTCTCCAGACATGAACTGGAGATGCCCCAGAGATACTACCTACACACAGATCATCTCCCCAGCAGGGACGATCACATGCTCAAGGCACAAGCTTTCAGCCACCAGCCACCACTGGGCAACCACACTCCAGTGTCTTGGTATTTCTTCCCTATCATACCGAAGGGTGACAGCATCAGGATCTCCACAGAGCCCTCACTGACAGTGGGTTAGGACAAGGGCTGCTGCTGGTAAAATGTTCTGGTGACAACACAACAAGTTGGTGAAGCACCTTTTCTCGTATTATAGAAACTTCTCCCATACCTCAAAGAAGCAGACCCTGACATTTATCTAGACAGCACTGTTCAAACTCCAGTAACCACATAAATTTTTCCTAATCCTTGCCCACTTGCATTCACTTCTGATAACTGCCTAATGAAGAGATGATGCCTAGAGCCAAGCTAAATGAGGACTGCAACTTACTACTCTGGGACTAATATGGTTTAAAATGGATATCACAGCACAGTGCCTTCTCATGCTTGAAAATAAAGGGTGTAGGAAGAAGCTTATGGGACCATGCACCCTGCAAGCCCTCACACTTGGCCGTGGTGTAAGGTTCAATTTGACATATTGCATCCGCATCAGAAAAGGAAAACAGTACTCAAATCTGCAAATTTTTTTTTTAAGAGAGTGAGCTTTTGTATATATAAAGCAAATAAATGCACATCAAAAATTAAGAGTCTCACTCATGGCTTTAAAATTACAAGGCAAGCATTCACTCACAGCACAGACTCCCTGTACGATAGCACAGAGCAGACAACATGCTTTTTTTCGATTCCCAGAGAAAAATGCAAGAATAGACAGTATTAATAGCAGTACCAAGACTGGAATTTGCTTTGAGATGAAGTAAAACAGAGTAAGACACAGTAAAAAACAAGTAGAAGTGAAATGCACACTTTTAAAAGTTCAGTAATATTTGGATGGTGTATAATTTAGTTGATCGTAAAAGCACTAATGTTGTCTATCATTAGATTTCAGAGTTGCTTTTAAGTTTGGTTTGTTGGTTGCTCAAGGAATACCATCATAAAAGCAAAACCTCCATATGCTATTAATTATTTAGTCTATCACACGAAAAACCCTTCCTATTTATTAAAAGCTTATCTTACTGCAGTCTTAATAGCTAATTCTGCAAGCAAATCATCTGAAGCACCCTTTGACAAGTTTCTTACCACTGCCTCGTTCTTTGGAACAGACGGATTTAACATTGTGAGAAGGCTGCCTGGGATCCAGGAAGGAGACATGTGCCTGTGATCCTACTGCGTACACTGACCACTCCTGACCATAAGCCAAACACACGTTCTCCCTGCAGTATGGCAACTTTGTAGAAAGTAACTGGAAACAGAAGAAATGAAAATCAACCCGTTATGAGAAAAGAGCAAGACATTAATAAGCAATTCTGTAAGCTATATTCAAGGAAGTTGCAGTGAAAAAAAAACCCAAAATGCAGCTAAAAAGCAAGTTTACCACAAAAATAGAACTTTAGGAAAAAAGCAATGACCTGATGCAGAAAAAAAAAACCTGAAGGAGATGGGATGCTTCGTCTGAACCAAACAGATTTATAAAGGCTGAAGCCAAATATTATGCAAAGAACAATGAACATTTTGGCAAAGTCTTTTAAAAGTTTCTAAGCTGCTGTTATTTCTGCAGCAGATGTACACAGACATCAGCTCTTAGCTGAAAAAGCTTACCTCATACACTAGCATAGATACATCCGGGTTTGATCTGCAATTACACTTAAATAAGTGCAACTTCCTTTATGAACACTGCTAATCCATCATACTGTATGGAACGGTTCACTTCAGCTCACCCAGAACCGGCAGAAAGTTAAGAGCACTTCCCACCCTCCAAAATAAGGGAAGTGAGGAGTTTCTCTCCTCAAGTTCTAATTTTTAGGACACTTCATTTTACATAAAGCTTGTAAGTGTTTTACAAACACTGCTGCTCTTTCTTCAAGCAATTAAAGGAGATGAAGAACAGTGAACAGCCATAACTGCTAGGCCATTTTTGAAATTTAACACCAACAAACAGAAAAGCACCTTTGATAGTGTGTGCTCTGCTTTCCAAAGATGAAAATACCCATCCAGGGACACAGCTCCCAGCTCCTATTAAAAAAAAAAAAAAAGTGAGAGAGTTAGTTTCTGTATTATAGATGACCTTACAAACTCACACTCTCTACTAGGCAGGCTGCATACTCCAGATTGAACTCACTCATAATCTGCTACATGCTTATCAAGATAAATTTTCATTTTATACTGATCTTGACAGAACACAATACAGCCCAAAGGTGCCAGGTAGAATAAGAATTAATAAAAGAGTAAATAACCAAAAATAACTTTCAAAAGTATACATCTTGTTAGACAATCAAATAATGAATTATTAGATAGTACAAGCTAGAGTTGGCAATTCTCTTCAGCAGCTCCCATGCTGATTCCGACTCTGAAGCAAACATTTCTTTCCAGGCACTACTCTACTGAAAAAGCTACATGGAGTCTCCACCACAGACGAGTAATTAACAGCGATAATGAAAAATAAAGCCCACAGGAGCACCATGCTCTCCCACCTTCACTTCAGACCTCCTCTGTTCTTTGAAGGCAGAAAGAAAAGCAGTGGAGGATGAATTGCTACTCCCACTGGTAATAACAAGAGATCAGCATGGCGGAGGTTAACATTTACTGTTTGTCAAACGCCAACAAAATAACACCAAAGCAAGCACTGATGCCTGCCCTGTGTGTCAGTCACCTGCTTGCTGAGCAATCCAGTAACGATTCAGCCATCAGAACAGGAACTGCCTGCATGTTAGTTGGCCTTTCACCAAAGGGGAAGGAAAGCAGCAAGAGCACTCAAGAGTGGGATTCAAGCTGCAAGAGGTGTTTTGGTGCTTTATCTGCTTCTTGTAAACACCCCCCGCCCCTCCTCCTCAGGGTGCAAGTCTAAAATCACACAGGAAAATCGTTCCTTCTGAAAACATATAATTTTTTTTCTACTGGACTTCTCCATTCATTTGGGGCAGAAGCAGACAAAGCAGATAAAGACAACCATCTCATAAGGATGCAAAAGGATCAGGGAAAAGAATATTAAGTTGCTTCTCTAGTATTTCTGATTTAGATTATTTTTTCTTTTTCTAATACATACAGACAGTTTTAGGATTTCTCAACTGTCTTGCTTATCTTACTGACCTTGTTCTTATTGTTGAAAGCCAATGCTCGGACTTTGCAGTTATCAGGATTGGTGTTCTCCTTGGGGATATCCTTCAGAGCCCTGTGTGTTATGTGAGCATAGACAGGAACTTGAGAGAGATTGTGCCTGGCATCGCTTTTGGACAACACATCTTCTGTGACTTCCCAGAGACCCATTGAACCATCACGGGAACCTGAATAAACAGTCCATAAATAAACAGTCGATTTCACATATACATAACTCACCTTTTTAAAAAAGGAATAAACAATAGAGTCTGAAAGAAAGAATACTATTAATTTAATCTAACTGAACACACTGTCGGTGCCTATACATTAATTATTAACAAAAACATGATTTTACTGAGCTGTAAAGTTCATAACATCATGAACTCATTGTCAACTGGTTTGTCTGCATGGTTTCCAAGCAGCTAGATGACCTCATCTGTTTTCAAATCGAATAGGATGCATCAAAAAACATAATCCTGTACAACAATCACCATTAGAGATTCACCTGTAAAATAAACTCAGAGGGGACTGAATAGCCTACGCGTTCAGCCTGGCTTACCAAGGCTGAGACTCACAGTCTGTTAAGCCAATATAAAAACCTCCAAGAAAACTCAGTTGGGTTTATGCCAATTTGGGTTCATTTGATTTCTGCCAGTATGCTTATGGATAGGTACATACACATTTGTGAACTGAATGGAAACAATTTCAAACCACAATTTATACCAATTTGTATCAAATCTGTTTTTAAAAATTATTTTCTTAAACCATGCAACATTTTGTTTAAAGAATGTAACACAGGAACTGAGGCTGAAAAAGCAAGAACTCATTTTATTTTTCTACTGAATTTGAAGATATTAATCCAAAATATGAATCAATAAGAGTAACAATACTGGATGAAGAAAGCTGAAGGTCTTTGGTTCATAGATCAACACAGGCTTAATCCAAAGCCCTATACCCATCCCTTCTGGTGTGTAAGCAACTCACTTCCATCTAAGTCAGCTCTGACAGATTTGACATGTACCTCAATTTCTTCCCTACA